CATGGATTTGCATTAACTATATTACCTTGTATTACATTGGCATGTTAGTAAATATTGTGACAGACCCAGACCAGTGGGGCACCGGAGACGGGTATAGGGCTGATATATTGGTCACTGGATGAGTAGTTTTCTGTTCCCTCGAGTGACCAGAGCAGGGCTGCACTAGAGTAATCAGGAACCTGCTAGAACCAGTTAAGGCAGGCAGGCTAATTAGGACACCTGGAGCCAATTAAGAAGAAGCTGCTAGAATCAATGAAGGCAGGCTAATCGGGGCCTCTGGGTTTTAAAAAGGAGCTCACTTCAGTTTGTGGTGTGAGGAGCTGGGAGCAAGAGGCGCAAGGAGCTGAGAGTGAGAGGGTGTGCTGCTGGAGGAGTGAGGAGCACAAGCGTTATCAGACACCAGGAGGAAGGTCCTGTGGTGAGAATAAGGAAGGTGTTTGGAGGAGGCCATGGGGAAGTAGCCCAGGGAGTTGTAGCTGTCATGCAGCTGTTACAGGAGGCATTATAGACAGCTGCAGTTCACAGGGCGCTGGGCTGGAACCCGGAGTAGAGGGTGGGCCCGGGTTCCCCCCAAACCTCCCAATTGACCTGGACTGTGGGTTCTTCCAGAGGGGAAGGTCTCTGGGCTGTTCCCCAACCCACATGGTGAATCTCTGAGGCAAGAAAATCCGCCAATAAGCGCAAGACCCACCAAGATAGAGGAGGAACTTTGTCACAATATATACAGCAGAAAAAAGAAGCATGCATGTAAATTCATATTTTCTTTTAAATTAGGATATGATGACTACATTAGTATGAGCATTGAGCCTAAGAAGCTTGTGATGGGTGTTCCCTGGTACGGCTATGATTATAGATGTCTGGATTTGTCTAAGGTAAGATGAAGGCAGTTCTATTGTAACTGTTTTTGATATTATTTTCTATTATATGCTATATAATTTTTGGTAGTTTTTTTTTTTAACAGTAAGGAAGTGCAAAGTCTCTGTGGTCTCTAAGATAAGAGCACAGGACTGGGACTTAAGATATCAGTGTTCTAGTTGGTTCTGCCAGTGACTTACTGTGTGAGCCCAGGCAAGACATTTTACCTCTGTGCCTCCCTTTCCTCCTCTGTAAAATTTAGATTATGATCTTTGGGCACCTGAAAGTGCTTTTAAATTTTTCGATGAAAAGAGCTATATAAGTATGTAGCTCCCTCTTGTGGGGTAGCCTGATCCCTTCTGAAGATAGTGGAGCCTCTTATCCTTCTGCTGGGATTTGGTGACCCCCTTTAGGACCAGTGGTCCCTGAGCTCTTAGTGCTTGGTGCTTCCATCTGGTGTCTAAGTGCTCAAATGAGTCATCATCCGTATAACCTCTAGGATATTATAATTTATGGGTACAATAAATCAAGGAATTACATAAATAGCATTTTATTCCTGAAAAGGATAGGGGTAAATGAAAAGGAAGGGGTAGAGAACAGGCAAAGGAATCAAAGATGTTAAATAAACTCCTTACCCCCAAAATCCTGCAAATAAAAGCCCATAAACTAAATTGATATGAGAAAAATCTCATCTTCCTTTCTCCCCTCTCCACCAGTGCTCCCTAAAGGCCTTATCTTGGGGGTGGAGGGACTGGAGTTTGATGTGGATGGCTGGTATCCCTTCCTGGGAAGCTGATAGTCCTTCCTTTCAGCTGAATGGAGTCCCTGGTGGCCTTGAGCCCTGACTGTCGGGTTCAGCTGGCTTTCAGTCCTCACTGGTGCAGCAGAATCTTGGGATTGGTCTCTCTGTTGTGGAGCTAGGGGCTCCAGGTCAGTCTCTGGCCCTCTGATAGGGAGAGTCAAAATGGCCATCTCCCCTTCTACTGCAGAGACACACTCTCTTGAGGCTGCTTCTCTTCCAACATGACTTGCTGAAATCAGCTCTCCCCTCCTCACGTGATCCCTGCCATGCTCAGTCATGTGGCCGAGGCATTTGAAGGCTCTCTGGGACCTGCAATTGATTGTCCAGACATATCAGTCAGGTTCCTGGGCCAGCCCCTACAGACACTGGGGCTCAAGCATAGGTGAGTCAAGCAGTCTCAGCTGAAGTTCCAGTCTGTGCCTCTGCTCCTCTTTGTGAGACCTGCTTCTCTGAAGGCCCCAAATTGGCAAGGGGGCTACAAGTACAAAGTATTATTGAGTTTGTTTTTATTTTATTTTATTTTTTATTATACAAATAATATAAAGTGAATATTAGTGCTATGTTTCCCATAGTAGACTGGTATGAGGAGCTGGAAGTTACTTATTTCAATTAAAGTTGAATTATTTGAACTTCTTTCTCTACATTTTACTGAAACAGATAGTAATCCATATCTGGTGTGGATATTTAGTTATTTTTGGCAGGTGCCTCTTTCTGACTTGCTTCCAGGCTTATCCCTTCTGAAGGGTTTAATAAATCCAAGTAACATGAACCAGAACTCCTGTTTTTTCAGGATCACGTCTGTTCCCTCCCAAATATTTCTTTCCGAGGGGCTCCATGCAGTGATGCTGCAGGGCGTCAGGTCCCCTATGGAACAATAATGAAGCAGGTGAATAGTTCTATTTCTGGGAGCCTGTGGGATGAGGAGCAGAAGGCTCCATATTATGAATATAAGGTAAGCAGTTTCCTAGACAAACGTTTATGAGCTGTGGACTAAATGTACATGAACCTTAGTTCTGTTCTTGTAAAGCTAAATTCTCAGGTGTCATCTGTCCACTTTGTGATGCTCATGTGTTGCAGAGTGGATAGATTCCAGTTTAACTTATGTCAATGGAGAGTTCCCCTACACTGGAGACCCTTGGCAGAAGTAGCAGAGCTGGCTCCTGATCTAGCCTACCACGTCTTCATTGAGAGGGAGGATGCATGTAATGCCAGGAAGGGGATTTGGTAAGACAGAGTTCCACTATGCCTAGCCTCCCTTGTCATAAGGCCCCTAAGGAACCTTATGCCAGTGATGTAAGTTAAAACAGGCTCCCAGCTGCTCTTAATTTCTGCTGGTGCTGGGTGGCACAAGATCAGGGAGCTGCAACTGTCTTCCTGTGGCTTCCCCTCTTCACTGTGTCCAAACTCAATCTGGATGCAGTGGAAGACTGAGCCCATATATTATTATTGTGAACTGATAAAGCTGTAAATATTTCTTATGGTTCTGTTGGTGATAGATTGTCAGTTACCTGGTATTAAATTTTGTATAACTTTTAATGCACTGATGACTAAAAGCTCTTAAAAATAATCACCAGCTGAAAGCAATATAATTTTTATTTGGCAAAATTCCATAATTTCTCTAAATCTGTGTTTATTGCTAGGAACAAAACCACATACTCTGACCTAATTTCATTTATTAGATTAGACTACGCGATTGAAATCCTAGCCCAAGCCTTTGATATTATCAGCTTTTTAAATTAAATTTATCATTAAAATACCCACAGATCTAGTCATCTCATTTAACCTAAATTAATACAAACATCTTTGTAACTCATTTGTGGTTACTTATCTGGAGATCAGAGAAGCATACTAGTAAGAAAGCAGAGATGTTTATTGGCCTATGCATAAGAAGAAAGACAGCTGGAGTTGTGGGTTGTTGGTTTGGTTTTAAACCAAACACACACACACCTTTTTCAGGAGCTTCTTTGCACTTTTGGAAAGGGAATTTTAGATTGTATTGTTTGTAGAGCTTTTAAATGTAAGTCTGGAAAAGCACTGTACACATTTTATTCATTTGAGTTTTTACTTCATTTATAATTATAGTTTTGATTCATTGCATTTAACCTCTTTGTATACGGTGTTTATATATGCTAACACAAATGTACTTATCAACTTTTTATAGGACTCTCTTGGTCATTTTCATCAAGTATGGTACGATAATCCACAGAGCATTTCCCTGAAGGCAACGTATGCAAAGAAACGTGATTTAAGGGGTATTGGCATGTGGAATGGAAATTGTCTTGACTACTCCAGAAGTTCTGTAGCAGAGCAGCAGACTGAAGCAATGTGGCGAGCCTTGAGACCATAGCAACTATACAGGATAGTGAACCCTACCTCTGGATTTAGAATGTAGAAAATGAATTGGTAGTTATGGCTAATATTCTGTATTATGCCTTCTTGCAAGCATGCACTGGTTACAAGCAAAACTTCATCTTGTCAGTCTCTGCTTAAGGCAGTATTTTTATACCTTAGAAAGTATTTAACATTGCATTAACACTGTTTTAACAGGTTCTGGTTATTCGCATTTTCATAACTGGCATCAGACCTTGAACTCGACACTCATAATATATATGAACAACATATGTATGTTGAATCATTTAAAAGAGAGCATATGAGAATGAGGTGTTCTGCTCAACACAAATGCTTTATCATAATCAGTTACTGTTCTTTGTTCTGTAAACTTTATATCTAAAAATATACACCGTCTAGTTGTGAAGGTTTTAATTATTTGTAGCATTTAGCTTTGTTGGCAGTGAAACTGAAGAATTCAGTATTCTTTTTATGTTTACATAACATTGTGAGGGTTTTTTTTGTTTTGTTTTATTTACAACTTCAAAAGCCAGAAAACCTCAGGCTTCAAAGAAAGCTTGCACCCATTTTGCTCAAAGCTGCATTCTAAAGTGTATATGATAAGCACTTCTTATGACCTGTCTAAACACATTGATTTCATAATTAACATTTTTAAGTGTCTACATTTTTGAACTAGATGATTGTAGTCACCATACTGCTGTAATTTCTGATGCTAGTGAAAAATCTGTCTTTAGATCAATTTCATGTAGATCTTGCCGAGAGAAGAATCCTGTATCAGTAGAGAGATGGATTGGATAATCTAATAGATAATTTTTCATCTTGAAATTCTGTGATTCCTGACAACTAAGAGGATAGATCCCTTGATCTAGAGTGGTGTTTTTCAAATTTCTTTACACAAAACTCAGGCTGAATAAAAGGACCCTATGTTCATTTCTAGTTGCTTATAAAATGTTAAAATATTCAGAATGAGAAAATCTCAGGTTCGTCATAATATTTTCTGATGATAATTCATTGTGCCAAGGGAATTTTGAAAGAAATATTAAAATATTTCCAAACATTTATAGAGATTGATGTATGTGTGTGCGTATTTCAGTAAAGTTTTGTTAAAATAGAAAGGAAATATTAAGGCTGAGGCAAAAGAACAATTCATGGCACATTCATCTTCCTAGAAGCAAAATACAATATTTGTTTTTTAGTATGTTTCAAGGATTATTTCGTAAATAAATTATCTACTAAACTGTTTTGGGGAGAGTTTTTTTGTATGTAACATGTTAAAAGTGAAGTGTAATCCAAATCTCCTGAGTGTATGCTTTGTCTTTGAACATACTGCAATGAAAGAAGGAAGAAAACTATTTTCTAGTCCTACTGTGTATTTGTTACAAAGATAGGCCCATATACTGCGGACACTTACGCATCAGTTTAATTTTATACGCTGTGAGTATTCCCATTAAAGTCAGTGGAACTACTCATGTGTGCACTTAGTATATCAAATTAAGTGTTTTTAAAATGTTGATATTGTCTTAGAGTCTGTGGGCACAGTGAAATAATTAATAGAAGTCTGACATTCCCCCCCTCCTTAATCAGAAGTTTGGTTTAAATACCTAACATTGTCAAGTTAGGCCCTGACTATGCTATAACTTGCAACTGAAGTTACAGTAGAACCTCAGAGTTATGAACACCTTGGGAATGGAGGTTGTTTGTAACTCTGAAATGTTCATAACTGAACAAAACGTTATGGTTCTTTCAAAATTTTACAACTTAATGTTGACTTAATACAGCTTTGAAACTTTATTATGCAGGAGAAAAATGCTGCTTTTAACCATCTTAATTCAAACGAAACCTTATCAAATCTTTTTTTTAAACTTCCCCTTTGTTTTTATTTTTTTAGTAGTTTATATTTAACACGGTACTATACTGTATTTGCCCTTTTTTTGTTTTTTGTTTTGTTTTGGTCTTTGCTGCTGCCTGATTGCATACTTCTGGTTCCAAATGAGGGGTGTGTGGTTGACTGGTCAATTCGTAACTCCCCTCCCACCATTTTGAGCCAGATTCCCATGAAGTGCTGCTGAGGAAAAGGGATGCTGCAGAGCCATAACTAAACCTCCAGGCATCAGGGGGTCACAGACTGGATCTGGATTCCTTACACTTGTAAAACAAAAGGGACTATATCTCCTTTATCTGTGGTATCTTTTCATCTGCTGCTGTGTATTTCATTTAACTTTTGTTAAAACTTTAAAAGTAAACACTTGAATCTGATTCATCAACTAGAATGTTAATAGAGCTATTTATAATTTCAAGTTTTCTGTATCACTGCAGAGAATAGAACCCAGAAGCCCCGTCCTCTGCTCTTATTTATTAAGTACTGTTAGTGTTTTCCAGGCTGTATAAACAGAAAAGAGACAGTCCCTTCCTTCTAGAGATTGAAATCTAAATTGGTTCTAGCCAATACAGTTCAGATTCATAGGATTTAGGTTCCAATCTTGAAGTGGAATGGGGTGGTTGATGGGTTCATTTGTTATGGAAGGATTACATTGGAGACAGAGCGGTAGTATAGCTCACAAGATTTAGAGTTCCTCCTTTTGGAAGTGTTGCAAGAACTTTCACATCCTATAACTGACATCCTGTCTGTTTCTGTCACTTGCAATAATTAGTAGAGCCTTGTCAGTTTTGGGGCAGCTTCATATTAACCTCTTGCAGCTTACTGCTTTGCTAGATATAATACCCTTTGGAACTAAGGGAGCAAGCAGGAGAGAATGGAAAAAGTTAATATGGAGGAGGTATTATTTCCCTTCCAGAGATCTGATACTCCGCACCGGAACATGCCTGTTGCCTCCCCTCTGCACTTGGTTAATAAATGCTGTATGCTCTACATTTTCTTTCATGTAAGACTGATGATGATCTTATTTACAACCTCAGGGCTAGGACAAGGGCATTTGATTGTCAATGCAGCTACACTTAAGAGAACGAAAAGAAACAACAAAACTGATATGATAATTTAGAGATAGGTATGTTTACAATGCTTGAATTTCAAAGCACAATGAGGTAGATATCTGAAACCTGAGTATTTTGTGGGTTAAACTGAGTGAGCTATATGTACCTCAAAAAAACAAAAATACACTTTTATCCACAATTATGGGTATACTACTTCAAATTACAATTCCGTATTGATTGTCACTATATAAAATTAATGTTATGCTAATTTACTATTTGAAAATTTTTTAATGACATTTCTTTACATTTGATTAGCTTATAGTCAAAAATAAACACGCTAATAGATTAAACTGCATGTTTTTATAAGTATAAGAGAATTACAACTGAGTTACAATTATTAGCTTGAGCTATTTTAAGGCATTTTAAATACATGATATACTTCTATTTTAACATATACAATTATCCTATCTTACATATTGAAAAGTCTCTTTAAAATAAAAGTATAGGAACATAAAAACAATACTGACATGCTGAGCTTCTATACAAATATATTACACAATCCCAAGTAATGCGATCCTTCTAAAATACTGGTGTTTCAGACTGAAGTATTAAAGATGACTGAATTTTCTTCTGTGCCAGCTCTGCTCTCAATGCTCGTAAATCAGAGGCCGCCTGCTTTCTCATCTGCAAAAGAACTAAAGATTATTTAAGGAAGATTTTGAAGTTGAAGATATAGTACAGTAAAGATTTAACTTTTATGTGGGTTAGATTGATATAGAATGTGCCTTTGATTCTAACCAGTTCTCGCCCTGCTTTTCTGCATGTTTCCTTTGTTGTGTCATCTTTAAAAGTCAAATCCTGAAATCCTTACTCAGCAAATTCCTATTGACATCAGTAGGAGTTTGCCTGGATAAGGAATGACTAAAAATTGACTATGAATCTCAGGATTGTTTTGTATAACTGACACTATTTTTCTTCTAGAAATACATTTTCTAGTCTTTTGACTTTTGCTAGCAATGGACAGAATTGTATCCCACACTGCAGATGATGAGGCAAAGGGAAAAATTCTTATTTTAGTTGCAACAGTATAATCCACATTGATTTCAGTGTCATACTTTGAATTCACTTCTCTATAACTAAAATTAAAATCTGGCTCCAAGCTTATGTGAAAAAATGTATATTGTACTGCAGTTGCCTAGACCAGACCTGGTCTGTGAATAAAATAACCTTGTCAGACAATTAAATGCTCCTGGGTTTTCATTCTGTCCTTTATCTTCAGGTTAGACCAGCTGATTTCCATCCTAATTTTTTCCATTTCTTTGTGGATGTTGTTGGCTGCTCCCCCCGCCCTCCCACCTGTGTTTTAACCCCCTTATGACATCTGTTATTGCCTGCTCCATTAGTACCCTTTGAGGATGCCAATACCTTGTTACCCTGCAGATGTTTAAAATTGTGAATTTACTCCTGTCAGTCTCTCATAGATGTGATTCTAAGGCTCTATCTCCAACAGCTATAATTAGATGTTTTCTTCCACTTTCTGAAGTTGGTGTCTTACAAACAAGGCTGGCTAAAGAATTACTGTTCCAGAGCTGTGATTGAGCTTGTTTTCCCTAATACTCAACTTTTGTTCCGCTTCATTTGCTGTCTTCATACAGTGTGAGGCAGCAATAACTGTCTCATGTCCCTTTTTTACTTTGCCCTTCCAAAAAGCCCTCCATGTCATTGATTTAGATTTGTAAATAGTTTATGGGATGCTTATTCTACCTCTGCATCTTCTTTCTTTCATGGGAGAGCAATGGACATCAGTGTTATTTTATTTATAGATTTTCTATTGTGCTCATCTAAGTCTGCTGGTTCTTTACAACTCTTGGGCTGGTGTAGTCTTTTTAATTAATTGCCTTCCATACCACGCTACTCATCTTTTCATCAGACATTTCTGAAAGGCTCTCCGAGGCTATGTCAATCTCAGACTCTCCAAACTATGGCCTATATTAGGGATCGGCAACGTTTGGCATGTGACCCGCCAGCGTAAGCCCCCTGGTGGGCCAGGCCGGTTTGTTTACTTGCCATGTCCGCAGGTCAGGCTGATCACGGCTCCCACTGGCCGTGGTTCGCCGCTCCAGGCCAATGGGGGCTGCGGGAAGCGGTGTGGGACGAGGGATGTGCTGGCCACGGCTTCCCGCAGCCCCCATTGGCCTGGAGCGGCAAACCACGGCCAGTGGGAGCCGCGATCGGCCGAACCTGCAGACTTGGCAAGTAAACAAACTGGCCCGGGCCGCCGGGAGCTTACCCTGGCGGGCCACGGGCCAAACGTTACCGATCCCTGGCCTATATTGTCTACTATGTCCGCTTTCTTCTACAGGGAGAGTTTGTACAATTGCTCCGGTAGGGCAGGATGAAGGCTGTGGTGGATGCCATTATGGAACTAAAAAGGGGTTAGGTACATAAACCCCTCTGAACATGGGAGATGTGCCATCTGCACATTCCACTGCTTCCTTTCTTCCTCCCCTCCAAGGCTTTATTGCAGCTGGGCTTCTGTGCTATCCTCACATTCTCAGAAGGGGAAGGGATAAGAAAATTGGACCAGTATAATTTTATTCAGTGATTTTTTTTTCAGCTTTATGGGCAAAGGCAGGGTCTGCAGAACCTAATCTATGTTAAAAACCCATGAATAGTGCTCTCATTTGGGTCAAGGGAAGGGGTGACAGTAGAATGAATGCAGACATTCTCTATCTTCTCCCATCTCATTGGAGCTTAAAGCCATCATTGTACTGCTGAACATCACCAAGTTCTGCTCTATGCTTCTCAGCTCTGTGAGAGGTTTGCTGTATGATGGTGGACAGGTCACTTAACTTGTGGCTCTCCAGTTACCTCATGTAAAATGGGAATTGCAACGAAGACATGATTATGAGGCTTACTTAGGCTGTCTGCACTACAGCGTTTTGTTGACAAAAGTTATGTCAACGTACACCATCGCTTTAATTAAACCGCTGTTGCATATCCATACACTATGCACTTTGTGTTGGCAGAGTGCATCCGCACTAGCATTTCTTGCATCAACACACAGAGCAGTGCGGTGTGGTAGCGATCCCACTATCCAAGTGGCCGCAGGGTACTGTGAGAATGGTTTACAGTGCCTCATGGGGCAAGTACATCATATGATGAATGTTTCTCAATCCCATCGTTCCATGGACATGCTACTAGATTGGGGGGAGAGTGTAGAGTGTGTGTGGGACACAGTATGTGGTGGGCGAGTGTGTATGTGAGAAAGACAGAGTTTGTGTTGAGGGAGAGTGAGTGTTGGCATACTGTCACTAAGTTCAGACAGCAGCTGGAGGCAACCACTCCAGAGGCTGGGGGAGGGGAAGCCCCCCTCCCGTCCCCCATCAGCCCCTGCCTCCCACCCTGGCGCTGCACAGCAGAGCAGACCCCTGCAGTAGCAGCCTGCCTGCCACTGTGTTCCTAGTGCCAGATAGGCTTGACAAAGGTCTGGTTTTCAACTGGAAGATCCAGTCAAAAAGGGAAACTGGGCTGGCAGCATCTGGACACGAGAAGTCCAGTTACCTACAGTAATTGGCCTCTGCCACTGGGGTGGTGGGAAGAGCAGCAGCTGCTGCTGGAGCCCGGGGGAACAGCTCGGCTAAGCAGCTGCTGCTCTTCCTCCCCCCACTCCTCCTCCTCGCCCCCGTCTGACACAGAACGGGGTGGCTACCGGACTGGGCTTCAAAGTAGATGCCGTCGGAGAGGGCTGAAGGGGGGGAGATATGTAACCTGTCTGCCCCTGCGCCCCACTGTGTCCTGATTTCCCCACCCTTCTCTCCAGGAACTAACCCCCCATCTCCTGCCCTGGTGTGCCCCAATTTCCCCACCCTGGCCCCTCGCTCCAGGGCTGGACTCCCCAATCCTACTGTGCCCCAATTTCCCACCTGGCCCCTCGTTCCAGGGACTGACTCTCCCCTTCCCCCTCATCCAGCCCAGAATGCCCCTCTCTGGCCCCTCGCTCCAGGGATGGATCCCGCAGCCCCACTGTGCCCCACTGTCCCTGCTCCTCACTCCAGGGATGGACCCTGCCACCCCGCTGTGCCTCAATTTCCCCCACCACCGCAATTTCCCCTCCCCAGCCCCTCACTCCGGAGACCCTCTGCCCCATTGGGCCCTTATTTCCCCACCTCGGCCCCTTGCTCCAGGGGCCAACATCCGTGCTCCCCTGTGCCCTGACTTCTCCACCCCATCCCCATTGTGCCCCGATTTCCCCTCTCTGGCCCCTTGCTCTGGGTGCATCCCGACCCCCCTCACTTTGCTGTGCCCGGATTTTGCCACCCTGGCCCCAGGGATCGACGCCCTCCCCGCTGTGGCCCGATTTCCCCACCTCGGCCCCTCGCTCCAGGGACTGATACCTCCCTGGAGCTGATCCCCCCTCCCACCTTGCTGTGCCCTGATTTCCCCTCCCTAGCTCCTCGGTCCAGGGACCACAGCCCCCTGCTGTGCCCCAATTGGGCAGGCAGGCAGGCTCCACGTCAGGTCCTCCGAGCTCCGGAGGCGGCAAGTGAGTCCCAGGAGATGGGTAGTGAGTGACGGGGCAGGGGTGGAGTGTTAGGGGTGGGGGGACAGGTAGGGGAAGGGGTGGGGCAGGGGGCTTGGTTTTCAGGGATTAGGAAGTTGGTAACCCTAGTGCCGGAGAGAGCAGGATTCCATGGTAATGATTTGCTCTTTGCTGCCGGAGCGGCATGCTCAGCTGTCAGAACTTCCCAGAGCTTTGAAAGGGGAGTGGTTGCATGTCTGGGCAGCTGGAGTGAGCAGAGCGGTCATGGTGGGCGTTGTGGGATACTGGGTGAGGCCAGTTATGGCAACATAACGAACAGCACTGATGCTTTGTCGTTTTAACTTTGCCACAAAAAGTTCTATGCCTCTTGTTGAGGTAGTTTTATATGGTTGGCACACCAGGAGAGTTTTACTAACAAAACTGCAGTGTAGACAAGGCTTTAGTTTATGCAGTTCATGGAAAATGTAAACACTAGGAATGCTGCTTATTACTACATGATGTGGAGTAGGCACGTTGGTCATTTTACTTAAGTGAAAGCTACAGCTAACACAAAGAAAGCTTTAACACAGAGGTCGGCAACCTACCGCATGCAGGGCCGGCGGCCAGGACCCCAGACTGGCGGCAGGCGGGCCCCCCGTCTCCTCCCTGACCGCGCTCAGGTTCTGCGGCTCCTGGAAGTGTGAGCCGCCGCCGCTGCCCCTCCCGGAGCTCCCCCCCCCCGCTGCCTCTGCACTCTGCGGGGGAGAGGCTGTGCGCGCGGCAGCCCTGCAGCGTGTTTTGCCTCCACATGGAGCCAGCGTCTGACCAGCATGGGCATGGTAAGGGGAGTCCTGGGAGGCAGTCAGGGAGCAGGGGGAGGGTTGGAAGGGTCGGGGCTTCTGGGGGTCCTGTCAGAGGGCGGGGAGTGGTTGGGTGGGGCGTGGGAGTCTGTCTGGGGGTGGGGGTGTGG